TTCCTACCTATGTGTCTATTTCTCTTTTTCTGCTGTATTTCATGTGTGTTTGTATATATGCAAGTATACCTACATGTATGTGCATATGTATGTTGAAGCCAGACCTAATCTTCACAAGTTGTCCATATTTTTATTTAATAAAGGACTTCCACTGGACTCTGAGTCTAACAAAGTAGACGAGGCTGGTTGGCTAGAGAGCCTCAGGGATCTCCCTGTCTCCACCTCCACTAGGATTAGAGCCCACACCAGCACACCTGACTTCTATCTGGGTATTGGGAATAAAACTCAGGTCCCCCTGCTTGCATAGCAAGCACTTTATCAGCTGAGCTACTTCCCCAATTCCAACCCCAGCTCTGTCTCTCTAAAACCGTGGTCATTTGGGTATCCCTGTTGGAGTTAGTTCTGGTGGTTAGGAGCCAGATCACCTCATTGACCAGCCCTGGTTAGTGAGGGACCAGATCAGCACGGAGCTCTGACAATGCAAAACTAGCTAGCTGTTCATGCCATCTGTGGGTACCTAGGGTTGCCTTTTGATAAAGGTTCTGCTTCTTGGTGGAGGGTTAGCAAGGGCTCTGTGTTGGAACATGTATTCTCATGCCTCAAAAATCTGCTCCAATAATCTCTTCTGACTAGCAAATCTTCTACTATCTAGTCCTAGACTTTTCTACCCCTTCCCTTGATCATCCACGCCCTGTCATCATCACTGAAAGTAGTTTTATAGTTTATAGTTTTAAAACATCTCAGTGGTTTTATAACCAGTGGTCATCACTGGCTAGCTGCCTAAGTGGTCAGAGGGCCTGCACTCTGAGGATGACTTCAGGCTAGTGTGTGCCTTGGACAACATACTAGCAAAACCAAGATAACTACAGATTACTTGATGCCAGGACTGAGGTAGAAGACTAGCTTTCTATAAAACAATTTAAAGAGTATTCTTCCTTTTTTTTTTGGTTTTTTTTTTGAGACAGAGTTTCTCTGTGGTTTTGGAGCCTGTCCTGGAACTAGCTCTTGCAGACCAGGCTGGTCTCGAACTCACAGAGATCCGCCTGCCTCTGCCTCCCAAGTGCTGGGATTAAAGGCGTGTGCCACCACTGCCCGGCTTATTCTTCCCTTTTGAGACAAGGTTAGGGACTACAATTGTGCCCACAACTTCAGGCTCCAGGTACCTTGCCCTCCCCAATCCCATCTATGAACAGTCATCTATGGAACTTAGAGAGTCTATGTATCTTAAATTGGTTCATAAGCCCCTTGTCATCTAGAAGGCCTAGAACCATAGGTCTATACTCTTGTCCAGCCTCTGTAGTTCCTGGAAAACTTGGACAACTTTGGGAAGATACCAGGAAGGAGGAGGTAGAAGAAAGTCACCTTGTTGGCCCCTGCCAAGGCTAGAGCAACTGCCAGGGGCTTATCAGGAGGAAATTCCACTCAAGGCCACACCTGTCCTGGTATGACCCCAACATTGACATTAAAGAAACCCTAGGATTTTGCTGGGGGTTTTAGTCTGAAGTATGGGTGTGTCGTTGGGACCTTGGGTCACATAGTAACAGTGTCCCAATGGGATCCCCCAATACCAGCAGCCCTAGTCCCAGAGAGCCAGACCTTAAGGTCTTCCTATTCACTCTACCCGGTCCTCTGCCCTTTTCCCCACTGGAGGCCAAGACTCAGAGCCTCATGCACTCATCAGCCTTGCTCTGGGTTGGGACACTGTATGCTCGTGCCTCAATGAGTTTAGGATGGGGTGAGCATGTCGGGAGACAGCCACTCCCACTAATAAAGTTCACAGAATTACAAGGCTTGGACTTTGACATCTGATTATTCCTGCCGCTCAGACAGCCATATAAACTTTCTGCTCCTGAGTAAGGCAGGAAAGCTCCCTTCTCAGTGTAACCCAGCTCCTCTGGTCCAGGCCCTCTCGATGCTCAGAATACAGATCCTTCCTCTATCTGCTTCCATCTACAATCATATTAAGACCTCAGTTTGTGTGGAGGGGCAAGAGACTCCCAAGAATTCAGCTAGGGGCCCTCAGTTCACAGGCAGAAACAAGACCAGCTCAGAAGGAAGAAGAGACATTGCTGTGGGGTCTTTAAAGAGACACAGGAACTAGGAAAGGGGAGAGCTGCCATGGATCAGAGTTTGGGGTATTTTACAGACTAAACATTAGAATCACTGATATGAGGCTCTTTTGCACATTTGCATGCCCAGTAACTAAGGCAGGTCTCACTTTCATGTCCCAGGCTTAGTGCTCAGCACTGTTGGATGTCAGCCTGACAGTCACAGCCCAGAGTTATTGGCTGTCAGGTGTCAAGGCTGAGGTTCAGCAGTAGACAGACCTCAGCTTCGATGACGGTGGAGACGATAATGCAAAGATGGAGTGCCCACTCCAGAAAAGCTCCAGATCCACGCCCCCATAGTTCAGAACGTGTTAACTTGTTGCCTCACTTGCTCAGGCAGTAGACTTCCCACAGGTTCCAAAAGGTGGGTGCTCAGATTAGGGTGTGTCCTCTAGAGGGTATGAGTTGTTAAAGTGAAGGGGACAGAAAGGCCATCCTGGCAATCCACCGGCTATGCACACTTCTGTCGCCATACGGTGCATGTCAGCAGAAAGAGTGGAGTGTAGTCCCTGCCTGATATTTTCCGAATGGCCAGTTGACAAACCATACCACGTTAAGGAGAGTAATCCAGTTTCCACAGATGTATGGTGCCACTTCTGTGACATGCTAGTCCCCACATAAATGGTCACCTATCTCTGGAGTTTTAGCTCTTTCCTGATCTACTTTCACATCAGCCCAGTACTCACCATGTACCTGAAGTTCTGGTCAATGTGGGCCCCTATGTGAACCCAGCAAATAAAAGGTTATAAATAAGCAATGCCATAACTGAATTATAAGAATGTGGAAAACTATGTGACGTCAGAAGGAAAAACTCAGACCCATATTCATTGTTATTGTCATTAAATAGAAAAGTAATATCAGATGCAGATGTCTGCAAAAAAAAAGCATCTGAGTAGACATGTAGTCTGGCCTTACTATACACTGGAAACTGAGACTTAGGATACATTGTATTTATATAATTTTTGTTTGGTATCTTTTTTGTTAGTATTTATATTTTTAACTTTTGCTTTTTATCTAAAGCTTCCTTTTTTCTTTTTACAATGAATACAGATAACATGAGAGCAAAGAAAAAAGTTACCTTTTAAAGTAGGTTATTTTGAAAGGTTATTTTTTACAACTATTTTAATTGAGGTCCCTTCTAAGTAAGGAGTAGATTGGACCAGGATTACACTCCCAGTGGTCTGAACCAAATAAAGACTCAGAAATAAGACATGAAGCAAAAGATTTCAAGACACTGGACATCAGGCATTGTGTAGACATGGGAAGCAGATTCTAACTGTATGATAAATAGCATTATAGTATGTGTAGGAAAGTGTGTAACAGAAACAGCACAAAGGCCAGAAGGGAAGAAATAGAAAACAGTTATAAGATCCTCAGTGTTGTCACGTGAAGGTAAACCATGATTAATAAAAGATATGCATCATAGATTATAATAAACAAAAATAAAACTAAACCCCAAAGTAAGTAAAATGCAATCACAGGAAAAAAGAAAACAAAATATAAGATAACAAAGAGTGGATGGAACAAATAGTAAACAAAAAAATACTTCTTTAAACTCTACTTTTCTTAATCACATTAAATATAAGTGGTTTAAACACTACAAAAAAAAGAGTGCCAGATTGGAGGTGGAGACATCTAAGACCCAATTATCTGCTTCTTAGAAAAAAGAGAAAATAAACAAACAAAAAACACATGTTAAACTAAAATTAAAGTCAAGGAGGAAAACCACATTGTGTTGGTCCTAGTCAAAGAAAGAGAGAGTGGCTAAAGTAATGTCAAAGTTGGGAAGAATTCAAGAGAGCACAGCAAGGCTGAAGGGTTGTGGTACACCTATACAATGGAATACTACTGACCTGTGAACAGGACTAAGGCTGTAGGACAAAAAGTTAAAAGTAACCATGTATAATCACATATCTATAAGAGTTCTAGAAGATAAAAACTGGTTACCACTGCCGGAGTGAACCAGTTTTGCTGTGCTGAGCTGGGTCATGAACAGGGAGGGAACTCCAAGGGGACACAAGGACCTATGGGTGATGAAAACATCTCTTATCTTGTTTATGGTGGTGTTTTCTCCAGTGGAGACACATGTCAGAACACCGAATTGATGCTTTATATGGTTGATTGTATGTCAATTGCCCCTCAGTAAAGCTGTTAAATAAGAATAGGTGAGAGAGGAACTTTATACTAGTTCTTACACTAAAAATATGACCTCCACAGTCCAATGCTATGCAACTCCCAGTGGCCCTTGCCAGAATGAATGTCTTCTCATTCCTGTCCTCGTGCAAGGTCTGAGTCTTTACATCTTTCCTCCTGAGCTATGTGTGCAGGACGAAAAGAATCCATTAGGAAAGAGAAGAGTGGGCTCTGGTAGAAAAAAAAAGCATAACGTCAGCAAAGCTGCAGATGGTCGTTAGTAAAATCTCATCTGGGAGGTAGATGCTGCTCGCTGCTCTCTGAGAACCTTTCCCCCAGAACTCCTATTTTCATCACATGGCTGAGCTGAAAAGTCTGGTCAGACTCAGTGAAAGAACTGGAAATCAGGCAACAGGGGTATCCAGACTTGTTCTACGCTCCCTAAAAACTTTCTTCCCATTTTGAGTTTTGTATGCAAATCAGCAAGTGCTGATCCACCTCCTGGGGCATCTCCCAGATTGCCAACTCCTGCTTCACTCGGATTGGAGAGCATTTTACAGCAGGGGAAATAAACAAATATTACCTTCCACCAAATCACAAGGCACCTTTTTATTTAGGGTGTACACCCCTACCTACTTCCTAGAGAAATTTCAAGCAAGTTATAAAATCATTCTCAACATAGAACAAGATAACTAAAAATAGAAAAGAAACTTAGCACCCAGTCTCTTCTGGGATGCCTGGGAGGTTACAGAAGACAAATACTGCAGTGGGCTCTGAGATGACGTGTGGCCACCTCACTGGGTGACCTTGCACTTCTGTGAGGCTCTGCTTCCGCGTGCACAGCCTGGGACAGTGCTGCCTCCACACATTGCTATCTCCTGAATAATCAGCACAGCAATTCCAGTCAGCGCAGGGCAGGTATGGCAACTGAGCAATCTGCCTTCAGGATCGTAACTTGCAGCAGCTGGGGAAGCTGGTGACTTAACCCTAGAGAATGAGATCCTTAACGAATTGCCTCTTCCCTTAAGAAGAGCAAACTGCACATGTGGGAGCCTAGCCAGTTTGGATGTTCACCTTCCTAGATATGGACGGAGGGGGGAGGACCTAGGACTTAACACAGGGCAGGGAACCCGGACTGCTCTGTGGACTGGAGAGGGAGGGGGAGAGGAGTGGGGGGAGGGGGAGAAGGGTGGGAGGAGGGAGAGAAGGGTGGGAGGAGGGGGAGAAGGGTGGGAGGAGGGGAAGGGAAATGGGAGGCTGGGAGGAGGTGGAAACTTGTTTTTTGTTTATGCTTTTTTTTCTTCTTTTTGCAATAAAAAAAAGAAAAATCTATTTTCAATAAAAGATAAAATAGAAAAAAAAAAAAAAAAGAAGAGCAAACTGCCTCTGGAAAAACCTGCATCCACTGGCTGTTTGGGGAACAGGAGCAAGATCTTCTGCTGGGATGCCCAGCCATGCTGAAAGGAGCTGACACCAGGGATCCTCTCTGACTCTAAGGTGTGAATCCCTAAAGCTCCCACCAAACCTCTGCTCACTTCCAATGATAAGGTCTCTTTTTACAGGCAGAACGTGACCAGTGGCAACTGTGTTGCTAATATAAGACAATTATGTGTGAAAGGCCAAGTTCAACTTGCATGATCTCTAGATGTGTCCGTGCAGGACCCATGGGGGAAAAAGAGCATAAAATCTGGCTTGTGACTGCAATTGTTCCTGTCTCAAAGAAATGGTATGGTCAGTAAGGTAGCATATTCCTATAATTCCAGTACCTAGGAGTCTGGAAGGAGAATTTCCACAAGTTTGAGGTTAACCTGGTATATGCAGTGAGTCTGAGGCCAACTAGGGCTACATAGCAAGATTGTGTCTGAAAAAGAGCCAAAGTCCAGGAGCTGGGAGATAGCTTATTCAGTAAATACCTTGCCTTGGAAGGCATGAGAACTTCAGCACAGATCCTCAGCACCCACATGAAAACTGGCTGTACTGGCATGAGTCTGTAATCCCTGTACTCAGGAGTTCAGGTATAGACAGGCTTGGAGCTCACCGACCAACCATTCTAACCAATCAGTGATTTCCAGGTTCGATGAGAGCCCTTGTCTCAAAAACAAAAATACAGAGCCCTACATGGAGATACCCAATATAACCACATAACTTCTGGTTTCCAAACATATTCACACACACACACACACACACGCACACACGCATGCACACACGCATGCACACATACATGCACACACACACACACACATACACGCCATGCATGCACACAAATAAATAACCAAAAATCAAGAACAAAAACTCAAAATAACAACAAAATTCCTCATAATGTAGTGGTGAAAACAGCTTCAGGAACTCTAGTAAGAAAGTCTCAGGCCAAAGGAAGCCAGTCACCTGCTGGACTCTGCTGGGTCTGGGCCACTGGGGAAATACTGTGATGGGCAGTCTTCTCTCTGCAGGGTTTCTGAGCCACCAGAAAATGAGGGTCCCAACCTCTTGAACTCCTTCAGGCCTGGCTGATAGGACTAGTGTGGGAATGAGCACAAGACTGAACTTCACACCAGTGTGAGCATAGTTTTTGGCCCTGGCACATTCTGCAGTGGAACCATGGGCAAATCTGAGTGTGCTGACCTACCCCTGGGCTGAGGCTTGAACCACAGGAGGACGGGAACCACAAAGGAGCCACGGGTTGTGACTTTGCCTGAGTACTAAGTCTAGAAACTTGCCAGTGCTAGAAAAATCTCCAACATTAGAGTAATGTTGAAAAGTGGTACAAGTCCTTAAATAGTAACAGAAGAGGAGCAGGTAAGCCTCCACCTCGGCAAGGCACCTAGAAGTACATCTTCTCTGAGCCCTGACAGAGAAGTCAGGCAGAATCTTGGATGCAGGAGATGGCACAGCCCAGGAAGCTACCATGGCGCCTGCCACTACATCCATGGGGGTGAGTGGGGCCACAGAGACTGAAGTTCTGAGAAGGCCTGGTCCCTTGTATTCTGCTGTTTCTTCAGGCCCTTAGCAAAGGGGAGGTGGGTCTGAGGAGGCAGCAGACTCTCATCCCTAACCTGCTTCATCCTTCCCAAGGGTGATTTTTTTTCAGTTGTGGTTTCTGACTTCTAATCATTATTTCTAATAAAAATTAAACAGGGGGGGGGAACAAAATGAGCACTATGATCCCAAGACAAATAAAATGATTAGTAGGGCAGATGCCCTGAGCTCACAGCTGGTGGCCCTGAAGAGGTGACTGCCTGCCCCCTGCTGGCTGTGATATAGAGAGGCCTTTGGAAGGAGAGCCTTGGTTACCCACTGATTAAGCTTTGTTGTCTTTAATGAGGCAAATCTCTACCCCAGAGCCAGCACTTCCAGACTCCACCATACACAATAGACCCAACCTTGCCCAAACTCCAGGCCTGAACAGACACCACCCCTATCTATGCAAGTATCAATCAGGCAAATACTTGACAAAGATTTTCTCCCATGATTTTTGTTTTGTTTTGTTTTGTTTTTTTTTTTTACTATACAGAGACTTTTTAGTGTAGATAAAATTCCATTTTCAATTCTTGTTTAATTCCATGGCTCTATATAAATATCTTAAAACATTTCCTTATGTTTTCCTCTAGTAGTTTCTTTCTTTTCTTTTTTACTTTCTTTTGCTTCCTTCTCCTTCATCTTCTCCTTCTTCTCCTCCTTCTTCCTTCTTCCCTTCTCCTTCTCCTCCTTCTCCTTTTTCTCCTCCTCTTTCTCCTCCTCCTTCTCCTTCTCCTCCTTCTCCTTCTTCTCCTCCTCTTCCTTCTTCTCCTTCTTCTTCTCCTTCTTCCAGACATATCCTCTGTCCTGAGTTTCAGATCTTACACTTAGGTAATTTAATTTTTCTATTCATGTATTTATTTGTTATTGGACAAGATAAGAGATAGTGTTCAGATTCCAATCTTCTACAGGTGGGTTCCCAGCTCCCCAGCATCGCTTGCTGACAATCCTGTTTTACCAGTGTATATTTTGGTTGCCCTTGTTGAGATTCAGTTGGCTATACCTTTGTGGGTTTATTCCTCTGTTCTGTTCCATTCATCTACATGTCTATTTTCATGCTATTCCATACTGTTTTGTTACTCTTTCTTTGTTATGTAGCTTGAGATCAGGTACTGTGATGTCTCCAGCACTGCTATTCCTACTCGGGATTGATTGTTTTGGCTATTCTGAATCTGAGTATCTTTAAAAATTTTTAAATCACTTTTCTAGTTTTATGAAGAATTTCATCGGTGCTTTGACGGAGGAGTATGTTGAACATGCAGATTTCTTTGTAGTGTGTACATTTTAGCAATAACATTGCTTCTAATACACTAAACACAGAAGGCATTCCCACTCTTTTGTTTCTTTGTTTTCCATTGCAGAGATCCTTCGCATTCTTGGTTAAATTTATTCTTGGTTTTAGTTTACTTATTTTTATGTATAGTAAATGTTATTGATGTTATGATTTCTTTCTCAGGAAGTTTGTTATTGGCATATAAAAACGATACTGCTGAGGGTGTGGAGAATGAACTCACACACAATGCTGCCTGGAATGTAAACAGCACAGTCACCAGAGGACATTGAAACTAGAGCTTTCTATGATTCTACTGCCTGACTATATATTCAAGGGAAATTAAATCATCATGCTAGAGAGAGACCTGCATATCCAAGGGAAATTAAATCACCATGCTAGAGAGAGACCTGCATATCCAAGGGAAATTAAATCACCATGCTAGAGAGAGACCTGCATACCTGCGTTTGTTGTTGTGCTATTCTCCAGAGCCAAGATACAGCGTTAGCCTAGGTAGGTGTCCATCAGTAGAAAAATGGATAAATTAAATGTGATATATATATATATATATATATATATATATATATACACACACACACACACACACACACACACACACAATGTAATATTATTAAGCCATAAAGAAAGACAAAATATTGACATTTTCAGCAAAATACATGAAGCTGCAAGACATGTTAACAGGAGAGAGCCAGACACTTGTGTACCTATTCTTGCTTAGGTGGAGCCTAAAATGTTAATCTGGATGTAGGAGTGTTTATTAGAGATTGGAGCGAAGGAGGGAGGATGAAGGGAGGCTGGGTTTGATCAATGCACACTGTGCACATGTGTGGAAATATCACACAGAATGCCACTAATGTGTATACTTTTCTTCCTGTTTGTTTGTTTGTCTGTTTGTTTGTTTTTCAAGACAGGATTTCTCTGCGTAACAATCCTGGCTCTCCTGGAACTCACTTGGTAAACCAGGTTGGCCTCAAACTCACTGAGATCTGCCTCTGCCTTCCAAGTGCTGGAATTAAAGGCATGTGCCACCACCACCTGGCATATATATTTAGTACATGTGCATGAAAACCAAATAACTTAAGGGGACTGTGTAAGCAGGAGGAGTTGATTCATATTCTCAGGCTTCTGGGGACCTCAAATAAAGGTAGGTGAGCAAGAGCCCTCAGAGGAGTCCCCATTTTGAAACCCAGTTCTTCCTGCCTAGCTGGGGGTTGGGGAGCAGACCTGAGACCACCAGTGAAATGTTGGCTTCTGCAGTATCTCTGATATTCCAGGTTATCCCCAAATGTTGATGTTCAGTTGGCTTAAAGGGAGTGATGAGAAAGAGAAAATTAGTTTGGTCCCATATAAAATTAGTATGGTTCCTCCTGCTTAAGGGCAGAGTTCGCTCCCTGAGGAACCAGAGCCCAGGAGAACAAATGCTAAAAGGTAGGAAGGGTGGAAGCCCGGAGTGCACACATCCCTGGTGGTGTGTGTGCCCTTCCCTCACTTCCCTTGGGGAGGCTATTGCACAGCCTATGCAAGGCATCCCACAGCACGCTTGTAGTCTGGGCTGATAGGGAGTCAGCACTTCCTGAATCCTCCATCACTGTCACCTCCTGTATTGCATGGTTCTGTGCCGAGCGGAGTTCTTTATACGCACATGAGCCCCCTGAGCACACTTGAGTCTTCTGTTAGCAATATTATAGGCCAGGAGACCCAGCTCTGTGATCCTCTGTGGCCTTGCACTTCCTCCAAAATAGTACAAAGTGCTAGGATGTCCTGGGTTCCTGAAACAGCTAGGGAGAAGCAAGGCCCTCCGAGGGCATCATTCCACATACTTTAAAATGACCCACTAGCTTATCATTAATGGAACGGACATATGCATACTTGTTAAAACAACAGCTTAGTAAGAACCATGTGGGCTTCAGGGGAGGCAAGTTAGTGGAAAAGACCCACTGAACCGTGCAAAGACGCAGAGGAAAATTTTCATACAGATTAATTTCACGTGTTAATACATTTCTCAAGGAAAAAACTAAAACAAAGGCTACTGACCAGGAGAAGTTGAGCACAGCTCAGAAAGCTGACCAAAGATTCATATGTAGTGAGAAATTCTTTAAAGACTTTCTATGATCTCCTGCTACTCTTGAGCCAGTGCTGTATGGCTCTTCTCAAACTTCACCCTTCTGTGTAAATTTCAACCTATATGGCTAATTTATATTCATAAGCACCAACGGGGTTAAGATTGGAACTGCATTCAATTAATACATATTTTTAAATTATCTCCAAAGAAGCTACAAGGAATTTACAGGTCACTTTCAAGGAAATTGTGTAATCTGGTTACTTTTTTTGTGAATTTGACCCAAGTAGAGTTATTTGGGAAGAGGGACTCTTGATTGAGAAAATGCCCCCCCCCCATAAGTTTGACAGAATCAACTGAAGTGGAAGAACCCAGCCTCCATGGGTGATGCTGCCTAGGAAGATGGTCCTTGACGGTAAAGAAATCAAACAGAAAACCATGAGAAGAAAGTCAGTGCACCGCATTGCTCCACAGTTTCTACTTCAGTTTCTGCTTTCAGCTTCCTTGCAGTGATTTTCCTGGATGACTCTTCTCTTTCTGAGTTACTTTGATCATAGTAAACAGGGACTGCAAAAGGGCTGTGAGCTCCCAAAGTCCAGTCGAAGTGTGGAAGGAGTGAGAAGACAATCAAAGCGGTCAAGATCATGATGGGGACACCCACTGAAACAGTTTACCTGAGCTAATGGGAGTCTACCAACTCTGGTCTAACAGCAAGGGAATCAGCAAAGAACCAAAATAAGCCCTCTGACTGTGGGGGACAGTTTTATGGCCGGGGAAGACCGTGGATCCACTGGCAGTGACACCCGGATTTATCCCTACTGCTTGTTCTGACCTTTTGGAACCCATTCTCTTTGGAAGGATTCTCTACTCAGCCTAGTTATAGTGGGGAGGGCCTTGGTCCTGCCTCAAAGCAATGTGCTAGACTTTGTTGACTCCCCATGGAAATCCTTACCCTCTCTGAGGAGTGGATGGGGGTAGGATGGGGGAAAAGTGGAGGGAGCAGGAGGAGAGGGAGTGGAACTAGATTTGGCATGTAAAATGAGAAAAAAATAAGTTTTTTTTAAAAAATTAAAAAATGGTTGTGAGCATTTGACATACAGAGACCCTGGGAAAGGCATAAGACCTGACACAGGAAGCCTGAGAAGATCATGAGACATTGGTACACGGAAACCATAGGAGGGTTGTGAGAACTTGGCACAGGGGAGGAGTGTGAGGTGGTGCCTGTGGCCCTGGGAAGTGGAGAGAGCCTGCTCCAGTCATGGGAATGACTTTTCTGTTGAGCTATGGCCTCAGTCAGGCTTCAGAGGTCAGGCTTCCACTCCACACGCCATTTCTTCACGTACTCTTTACTCTGTGCTGATGGACCCTCATGGCCAAGTGGGGCTGTACTGGCCCTTTAATCCGCTGCCAACAAGATGTGACCAGCACTGACTGGCAAGAAGAGTTCCAGCTCAGTGAATGCTCCTCAAAAAGGCCAGATTCTTACCCCAATACCCTGTTTTCTTCATCTTAATGTGATCATTTCCAAGTAGTGGTCAGCTCTCATTTAATTGGATTTAACAGCGCAGATTAGATTCTACCTTCGAGATGAGTTATCAGTTCTGTGTAGTTTTACCCAGTCAATGTACCGATTAAACCTCAATCTTACTTCATAGACAGCATCAGATCTAAGGAAGATACTGAGCACTCAGATGGGACAGCTGACCACGTAAAAGGGACATGTCACTCTCTGTGCAGCTTGTACACAGATCAGCAGCCAGGCACAGGGCCCCTCCCGTTGCTGTACAACATCTGTATGTACTCAGGGGCTACTCGACCCAATGTATTCAGAACACATTTCACTTCACTGTCCCCTCAAAATCCCACAGGCTTCAAAGTGCAGCCTCCTTTATTCCTGACCAGCTGAGAGACTGGGTAGACTGAGAGCCCAGAGGGTCTCTGGGTTTCTTGAGATGATCACTGAGTGACTAGGGCCAATAGATGTATACCAGGGCTTTGGAGACCCATTCTTGTATGGAAAGAGTAAAGTTACTAGATTATTGATAAAGCCTGGTAAGTAGAACATGAAATAGAAAAATCTCTGTTAATGAACATAGAACAAAAACCTTAAGCTGATGCAGCTGCTTACCTAGGACAGAGGAAAGAGCCACCAAGGTCCATGCAGTGGTGAGGAAGGGAGCCCGCACAGGGAGCCACTGTAGACTGATCACTGAGTACCCACTGCTGTTCCAAGGATGGAGATGCTCTGGACCCAGGCCTGGGCCAGAGAGAGGCTGGGAGTAAGCACTACCCACCAACCAGGCCAGCAGAACAAGGGTACACGTCCACATGTCGGGGGGGATGCTCCTAAGGCTGAGTTTTTAGCTGAGCTTCTCAACAGGCAATCCTGATCTGGAAGGGCACATAACCAGCTTCTCTATAGCTATCACAGGCACAGCTGGCTTCCCCTCCTCTGCCCAGACCCTCCCCTTTACTGACCACAGGCCCAGCCTTGTTCTAGGCAGCCCATGTCTCCTGCCATCTCAAGACATCTCCCTACAAAGCAGCAGGCCACTTCCTCCAGGCAGGAGTTCAAAGCCTTTGCCCACTTCCCTGTCCTGGGAGACAAAAGGCCACCTGTCTACAGAGATTAGTTACTGCTGTCACATAAAATAACAGCGGATAAAGAAGCAGGGTTTAATTGGCTCTTTATCGAGGGTTTTGGCCCCTGATAGGAGCACCACATGAGACAAGAGAAACTTCAGATAACACCCAATTCAGGCTAACACCACTGTCCAGCCTACGGGCGTTATAGCAAGAGCACTCCTTAGGTTTCTGAGAAATTCCCAGGGCATTTGCTCTTTCCAGGCTCCTTCACTCCTCATCCTGTTTGGGACCCTCAAGTCAACTGGTTCTTGGTGCCACTGACTCTTCAAGATGAGGTAACCTTACAGCAGTGTAAGATCTCTGCCCACGTGGTTCCTAGACGTGTGCTCTGCATAGGCAAGTCAAAGGATGCCAGGAGAGGGGGCAGAAAGAGCACATGACCTGTCGTGTGACCCATGAGAAATAGAAGTGTGGTCATCCCCAGAGCCTGATGGAGTGGGACCTGTGCTGAGGACAGCGGTATCTTATTGGCAGAGAAGTCCAATTTGCAAGAGAAACAGTGATGTTAAAGTGACTCATACTGGAGTTGGAGAAACTCATGTTACAACCAAAATGAGTCAGGGTAGGTGGAAACAAATTCTAGATGTAAATAACCATGTGTTGCCTGAGTATGCACATGAATGTGTTCCCCGCTTCTGACCTGGGATGGGCAGATACAGCAAGCCACATCCGGTACTCATATTGTATTTTCTAAGATCCCTCTCTACTAGGAGCATACTGGGCTGGACTTGGTTGCACATGCCTTTAATTCCAGCTCTTGGGAGGCAGAGGCAGGCAGATCTCTGAGATCCCTGAAATGGGGGAGGGCATTTCAGGGTGAGGTAGAAACCTAATGCAATGGAAACCCCCGGGAATCCATGAGGGTGACCCTACTGAAAACTAGTAATGGTAGCTATGAAACCTGAAGTAGTCATCTCATAGAACCAGATCAATCTCCAGCATACCTGTCATCAGAGAGACTTCATCTAGCAACTGATGAATAGGTGCAGGGGTCCATAGCAAATCCTGCAGAAGAGGGAAACACAAGAAAACAGCCCACGGAATCAACTAACCAGGGCCTATAAGGGCTCACAGAAACTGAACCGACAATCAGATTATATCCTGTATGGGTCTGACCTATATTCTCTGTATATGTTATGGTAATGTATCTTAGAGTTCCTGTAGTACTACTCACAGTGGGAGCAGGAACTGTCTATAATTCTTTTGCCTGCTTTTGGGACCCTTTTCCTTCTACTGAGTCCAGCCTTCATATGAGGGGATG